CCCCATAAGGTTCAATGTAATTACCGTTAATCCGTTCTGGCGTGCAGGACAGGGAGGCAGCTATTGCTTGGAGGGAGAGTCCCCCTCCCTATGACGTGTCAGGGGTGGAAAATGGCTGCGGACCGTGTCACGGGAGGGAAAATGGCCGCGTATCCTGTTCGTACCCCGAGGCAGAGTTCGCAAACCGAGGTAAATTTTTGCAGCCGGAGCTGGTCGTAACCCGAAAAGTTTGTTAACAGAGGTGTTTGTAACTGTATTAAAGATGTATTTACATCACCTTGCAAGTCCCAGATGGGTGGAAAGCAAGAGCCTGGTGTTGGGGAAAGCGTGTGGTGCAATAAAGCATCATGCACAGCTTTGCCATGCTGTGGTGCGTCTAGTCCTTGGAAAGCAAAGAACCCTCACACAGACAAAAGAGATGCTCTAATATTTATTCATTTCAGGAAGGGAAAAGGACGCATACATACATATTCATATGATGATGCAGGCATACGTAAGAAAGATCTCAGGTGACTTTCTGCCCCTCTGTTTATCTACTATCTGCAAAGAAACAATAGCCTTGCTCAGAAGAAACAAATCAATTCAGGGCACCAAACGCCAGGAGGAACCCACTTGCCTGTGGAGCCCTTGGGGGTCTCCGAGCTTGGAAACGTTTGCAAGAAAAGAACCCCAAGGACTCCACAGTGACCCTGAGCTACACATATTCACCTCTCTTGGTAGCACTCTCAAGGCCCCTCCTCATTGGTTGCTACGGGGATGTTTGTGGTAAGATTTTTACAATCAGCCTGGTTCACACCAAGGGTGCTGCACATTCTTTTATGTTTCAGTTTTATTAAGTGGATCCCATTCATCGGCAGCCTCTAAAAACATTCTTCACCCAGAGAGCTGTTTTCCTCACAAAGGTTTTCTGCATGACTCATATCTGGAAATACCAGCTGACGCTTTTTTCCTTATGTCTGCTTTCACTTCTTGTAATTCATGGGGTTTTCTGGCTAAAGTCGGAACAAGCTAAGCAGGAAAGGAAAGACTCAGTTGCTGTGGATGATGTCATCTCGCCCCCACAAGGTGCCAGGAGCTGTACCAAGAGCAGAGCAATCTCTTCGCAGGGCAGCCCCACCGGAGGACTTGCTTCGCTTGCTGGTTGGACGAGCAAGGCAGGTGTGAACGTGTGCACAGGAGGCACTCTCTGTGTGGGCATTTAGCGCAAAGCAACCTGCACTGAGCTATCCTGTTTAGGAAGCTAGGGGGGAACTGTGTGTCCAAAAACAAGACCACATTTGAAGTTCTGGAGTAAATACTTGTAAACAGAACGTGGCTGAGCGTGGGAGCATTTTGAGACTGACTGAAGGATGTGTGGGCGGGGAATGGGGGTGGGAGGGTGGGGCAGGTGGAGCGAACTTGCGACTGCAAATGTAGAACACCTGGAACAAATGTCTTCATTTTTCAGATCTGTGAGTAACTTTATAGTAGAAACGGTGGAGATCATCCTGCACCCATTGGGAGCTTCCCCCCTCCCCTCCAGTACCAGCGTCTCCCTGCTCTGGCCACAGTCCAGAGATTCTAGTCTGCCATGATACCAGTTGCTCTGCAACAGCTGGAAGTGGGGTGGGGAGGTGGGCTGGAGAAGCTCTGGCTCAAGCTTCCCCCCTCCCCGCGAACAGTCTTTTGGGGAAAGCCACATGCTCCAGGAGACCTTCACCTCCCAAGAAAAAGGCCCCCCTCTGGCGCCTCCAGCAGATGCTGGAGTTGGGTAAATGGGGTCCTGCAAAGAGAACTCTAGCTGCGCGGCCTTCACTCAGCTGTGCTGGGGTGGCGCAGTAGCCTGCAACACCCCCCCCCGGCTCGTTCCCCTTCCCCCACGCTGTTTGTTCAGGCTTTGCCTGGAATTTCCCACAGGACTCCGAGCACATCCTAGGCAGGGAGCAGCCCTGGTCACGGCCCCAGAGGGAGGCGGGGGGTCTGCAGAGTCTGCTGGAAAGAGGCCCTCTCCTGGAAGATGGTGCCCAAGGCGGGAGGGTGGGCTCCCCCCCCCACAGAGGATCTTTTGTCTGGAGAAAGGAAGGGTCCTCCGAACTCTGGCATTCAGACTGGCTTTCGGCACCTGAGCTGACTGGTCAAAGGGGCAACATGTACTTCAGCCTCTTGCTTTTTTCTTAGTTTTATTAACCAGGGAAAGGCACCAAAAGTCTCTTGACTTAGGCTCACCTGGTGACTTCACGGACACAGCATGTAGGTTTCTTGTCAGTGGGTGGAAGTGGTTGCCCCCTGCCCCTTTTTGACTCCCCAGCCCAGACTCCCATCAAGGACCCATCAGGCCCAATCCTGCCTAGGTTTTCAAGACCAGCCAAGGTTAGCACGCCCACCCATCATGCTCAGCACCATCTTCCAACATGGAAGAGGTGGAAGAACGGCAAGACGGGTCTGTGGCAGACATCAGAGGAAAGGAAGCGTCACCCAGCTAGCGCCAAACCGTCCTGCTGACTCGCCATCAAACCGCGGCTTTCCTGCTCTTCCTCTTCTTCTTCACCCACTTACTCTTCCACCCTCTGTTTCTTCTGCAATTCAGCCCTCTCCTGAATGCCCAAGCCACCTTAGCATCCTTCTTTCGTAGCCAGCGTTCAATCCACGTTCGCTCTCGGTACCGCACGTTCTTGTCGCTGCTGGCCGCACCGTGTGCAAATGACTTCTCGCCATACCCAGTTTTCACTTCTGCCTCACAAAGCTCCTCAGTTTTTGCTCCTTTTCACCAACAGTGAGTGGTTCCTTGCGCGATTAGTAATGAACCAAATCAACAAATCAGCGGTCATGGTTCCCCCTTTTACCCTTCCCTATCAATTAGCAGTACTCTTAACTTCTCAGAACCCCTTTTTGCCCCCCCCCTGTTCCGATGTACTTTCTGCGCCCACAGGGGATGTCCTCAAAAGGCGAGCAAGGACAACTGGCGCACCTCCCAAGCAGCCCGGAGGGCTTCTTCCTGCGCCAACCCACCGCGTGGAATGCTGCAGAGGCTGGAGGGTGCTTCTCCCTTGACAGAAAAGGACACTCTGGTTCTGAAGGACCCCCAGCCTGGCTGAGCAGAGGGAAGGCAGCTGGAGGAAGGGGCAGGGGTAGGCTGGGTGGGTGGGTGGGAGGGAGGGAG